TCTCTCACGATTATTCCGAATTTGTAAAAGCGGTCGGCGTCAAAGAGCCGATTTTGATGTATGTCGTTGCGTACGAGCAAGTTGATGATGAGATACAAAACACACGCGTGTTTTGATCTATTAATAATTTAATATATCATTTATATTTTTATTTGAAAAATTAAAGGAACGCGTTTATTTTGATTTTATATTATATACTTTTACTTAGAGTTTACTATCCAGTTTTTGATTCTAAAAATAAATTAATTTTTCTCGTGCGAACAACGAGTTATTTTAGAAAAAAGAGCGAATCGAATACGTGTGTTGTGCATTTACTGATACGAGATCTATAAAAATCGCGCCACACGTGGTGCGTAGGAACCTTCAATTACTACGACCTTAACCATTCTCAGCAAGGACGCTCACCGCGAGAGAGAAGCATAATACGTCACAGACAGTGTCGCCCAACGTCACGGGGGCGCCGCAGATGACGTCAGTGGTACGTTAAATGAGATTAGGCTTTCAAAGGTTTATTTGCCACCCACGCAAATTTTTTTTTCATGGTGGCGTGAGAAAAATTGAGGAGCAAAATACGCATAAACATAGATAGATAAACAAAGAGCAACAAATAGACTAGTAGAGGGTTGTTAAAGAATGTCGAGATAGAAAAAGAGACAAGAGATGCATTACGAAAGAAGAAAAGAAAATAAAAGACGAACGCAAGAACGACAAAGAGAGAGACTGTTGCAGGAAGAGAGTGTTGCAGAGGGTGAGATGAGAATGACAGAGAAAGCGCAGCAAAGGAAAAGGGAAGGAAAGATTTCCTGGCGGCAAAGCAACTCTCGCGCCGCTGCAGGTAACGGCGGCATAAATCGGCCGAAGGGGAAACTTTTCGGGCACGGAGTTACCGGTCGGTATCCTGCGCGCGGAACGTATAGGCGCGTATGTGTACGTGTATACACATATGTGTATGCGGTTTTATCTGACGGTACTCGGGGATGTTGCGGGTTGATTTATCGCCTGTCGTTGCCATGGAAACCTCGGCGTGACCGGCTTGCGCGACACCCTCATATCCGAGTCGACTCTGGTTTGCTCTATTCCCCGCTGCGCTTCTCTCATCTTCTCCTTGTCTAGCCTCCGCTTTACACATCATTCTATCTCTTATTTTCTGTTTCTCTCTTGTTCTTCTCTGTTCATATCTCCTTACCCCTTTCATCTTTTGACTGTTTCTCTATCTTCCTCTCTTTGTCTTTCCTTCTCTCTCCCTCTCTCCCTCTCCCTCTCCCTCTC